AGCAGAGGATCAGTGAGAGTGAAGGAAGCGTGCGGAGTCTCAGTGTGAGCGGGGAAGAAAAAAACAATGTGAACCAGTCGCCCATCAGCCCCATACAGACCTTCCCGACTGTCCTGTCCATAGGAGACGAGAGGTACACACACCACAGCTGCCTTCACTGCTGCTTAACGCTCTCAAAGAAGCAGCTTGAAATGAAGATTTGGGGATTTTGTCAGTATGTAATTTAATTTGTGGCTGAACTGCTCATTTCACTCTCAGGATGAATGCGTATATTGAAGAAGAGGTGCAGCGTAGGCTGCAACAACTGAACCTGCTGAACAGAGAGAATAACAACACACTCTCACTGTCTTCAGACTCACTGCAGGTATAAAGCTACAGCTAACACACGCACTCACTGTAAACCGCAGCACCCACAGACAACATCAAATCAAACCCGTTTACTTGCATAGATCCAGAAATATTCTTTGCATTTGAAATAAATAGTGTGTTGTAAATAGAGTTTTGCTTTTTAAAACATAGGTACATATCAGTGTTGTCATTGTTAATGAAAATGATTAAGTGTGGTTAAATGTCCCTTACAGACCCTCCCATGAATTGAATTCTTAATTCAAATAATAAAATCTTTCATTGAATTAAAGCTGAAATAAAATATTAAATCAAATTAAAGCTAAAAAGAAAAAGAAAAAAAAATGACAAAAGCACATAATGGTATATGATATTAGAATGATATTAGTAAAATTAAAATAAAAACTAGAAATGTAAACAAATAAAAGCTAATTTAAAATTTGAACAAATACTATATTATATAAATAATACTAAAATAACAATGTTACATGTCATCCTGGAATATTTTTTACTTTTACTTGTTTATTTACCACTGTTTTCTTCAGAAAATCTAGTCATTTCTGCCAGAGTAACTGAGACGACAGAGAAAAATAATATTATTAACCAATAATAAACTATTATTACCAGTAAAATTTTATTATTTTCCACTAAATATTCTGTCTCACTCAAGAATACTTTACCATACAGAAGTGAAATATGACGTCTTTAAATTGTAGACCATAACATCATGTTCTTACTATCATTATACTACTATAAACATACACATTATTGTAAAAATCCTTTTCTCTTTGGATTGAATGCAAACTATTGGTAAAATTTGTGAAACTTAAAAAGCAAGCCCAAACTGCGCTGAATCTGCTCCTTTTTTTTTTTTTTTTTTGCATTTTCTGTGTTGATTTCAGCTAAAAACCACAATTAAATTAGCCAAACTGTTTTCTGAGAGATTCTGTGTGGGCTTGCTAAAGAGGAGAAAACGGTTTAATGTTACCCTAGTCATGCACAAGAGACACATTAAAACCCACAGAATTGTTTCTGGCATCAACAAAGTTGTTTAACTCTGCAGGAGGAGGAGCAGGATAGTGAGGGTAGCTCTGTTTTTTATGAGGTAAGCACAGGCCTCAGCCAATCAGCACCAGCTGAGCGCACGGTGATTTGCATGATCAAGCCTTAATTTGCATACCTCTCACAATCTCTGATATCAGTAGATTGGGTCTTTCCTCTGCGGTTTTTCTTCCTTGGAAGCATGCAGCCTGCCCACCGATGTCTTGCATCAATGCATTTCTCCTTTTGCTGTAATCAAACTGTTTTTTTTTTTTTGCTACCTCACTGATGGGAAATGACAAACAAGTGCTTGCTTGACCCCCTTAAATCAGCTGCTAGTAATTGAGACTGTTAAAGTTGTGTTAGTTGTTATATGACCCTAATAAAATGTGTTTTAATCTCTCAGGACAACGATAAAAAACCCATCGATCTACGCAAACTGAAATACGAGGTACTCTTTTGTATGTTTAGGGAATGTTTTTTTATTAGCACTTCAAATGAGGACGTTTTCTGACCATAATTTCCCATCTTTCCACAGCGGCTGGTGTCGATTCCTCTGGAACCCAGTGCAGAGAGTCTTAAAGATCCGGTGAAGATCAGTATTCCCCGTTACATCCTATGCGGTCAGGGAAAAGATGAACACTTTGAGTTCGAAGTCAAGGTTTGTCTGCATTTTATACAATCACTGCATTATCTGTGAGAATGACTTAATTGACCGTGTGGTGACCGCCAGTAAAAAAAAAATTAAAAAAGTGTCTGAATGGTCAGCTTTGATGTTTGAGATTCGGGCTTTTGTCCTGTGTGCAGATCACTGTTTTGGATGAAACGTGGACGGTGTTTAGAAGATACAGTCGTTTTCGGGAGATGCACAAATCTCTGAAGCTGAAATATCCAGAGGTATGACTTACATAGAAACAACTGTGACGCAACTAGTTGAACATGACGCTAGTAACACTAAGGTTATGGGTTCGATTCCCAGAGAATGCACAAACTAATGAAATGTATCAGAATGCATTGTAAGTTGCTTTGGATAAATGTAAACATTTCAAATCAAATTTATTCATATTTATTTCTTTTTTTTATTTAATTTTTGCTTTATTTACATGCAATTAAAATTTATTCATGCATAAGTTTCTCATGCATAAATGTAAAATTCATCAAACTCATTCATGTAACCGGTCAATTTTTCAGTATTTTTTTTAAAAATACTTAATTTTTTTATAAATATTTAACCCCCCAAAAATTTTTTAACACCATCAAATAAGGTTTTGCATTAATTTCATGCAAATTGTCATGTTTTTTTTGTTTGTCCCACTTAATTTTGTGGTGAAATATGACCTGGATGTTTTTGTGAGATTCACCCTACTATGGCATATTAGATATTTTAAAATTTTGAATCTTGTTTTAGCTTGCGGCTTTGGACTTCCCTCCCAAAAAGATTTTTGGAAACCGAGACGAGAGAATGGTTGCGGAGCGCCGGAATCTGCTGGAGGTAATCAGATGTGTTTCCAATCCATCACTTTTGAACGAGAAACCTCTGAAGATGCTGATGATGTCATTGTGTTTTCCCAGCAATACCTGCGGAACTTCTTCCGCGTGATGATGTCACCCTCCTCCTCTTCTCCTCTGAGAACAGACGAGTTTGGACTACACCTCTCAAAACACACCGTGTGCAGCATCTCTCCTTTCTTTAAGAAGGGAGTGTTTGACTACAGCAGTCACGGGACGGGCTGATACACACACACACACACACACACACACACACACACTAGTACAAAAAACACTAATTTACATAAATACAAACTAAGACAAAAACATTTCACCTTAAAATCAAAAGGAAAAATTATATAAAAGAAATTATATTATGCATAAAGAAAATCAAGCCTGATTTTGGAACCATAAAGATTTTTGCATTGCGACATTATTTTCATGGCAATTAAGCAAATTTTTCCAAATCAAATTCTCGTAATATTATACATTTTGAGTTTTTATTTCTGAGGTTTTGCGTAGTTGTGGTTCTCATAGTTATACAGATTTTTAAAAAATTCTGTATTCAAGTTAAAAATATTTTTTTATTATTATTATTATTATTATTATTATTGTAAGAAAAGTAGCATAAATAAAAAAAAAACAGTAGTACAACAATTCTGCCATGATGGATAAATTCTTTAAAATGTAAATAAAATATTATTGTTGCCATGAAAATAATATCATAATGGAAAAAATACTATGAATACAAAAATAGGCTTTTTTTTCTTTATACTTTCAGGTGAAATATGACCTGGATTCATTCAGACACTAATGAACTCGCTCAGGAAAGTTTGAAATCAAGAGCAGGAATGGTAGAAATAATAGGAAGAAAAGGATCCAAATTAGATGTAAATAATTTTGTTGAGCCTTGTTGGCATTGAGCTTTAAACACTTCAAAGAATAGGAAATCTGGACATTTATTTTGACAACAGATGGTCACTGTGTCCTGCTCCAAACGTTTTGTGTTTACATCGAGGACCATGAAGCCTGTTTCTGTGGACAGACAGGACGTCCTGTAGCTGCTACTTGGGTTTGTGATTCATTTTAAATCATGTACATGTTTAAGTTGCTGCGTATAATGAATCTCCACTACTTTAGTCTGGATTCAGATGATGTAATGAGAACGGCAGCCTGTTAATGGCTCCGATCCATATGTACTCCAGATTAAATGAATTACAGCAAATCTGTACTAATATATCCATGATACTCGGGCTAACATTGAGCAGTTTTGTTGTTGTTGTTTTTTATAACCACTAAGAGGTCAAAGCTCACAAAATAGCACATGAAGTGTGAGCTAATGTCTTCCCGAAAAAAAAAAAGATTGCTGTTGATTCAAAATTACTGTCATACTCATTGCCCTGGATGCAGTTTAAGTAGAATATGCTGTAATAACATGACTATTGATAACTATTGAACTCTTAACGATTCATTTTCAGCACTATGAAGCCATGTGTATATGCAGAATGTGTATGTAAATGTATTGTACACTTGATCTGTACAGGGGAGCTTGTTCTCATGATGTCTGGAGGAAAGGGATATACTGCTATATTAGCCGTTGAACACTAGAACGCTTGTTTTCTCTAAAAGAGTACTGAGAGTAAGATGTATACATTTTTAAAACACTATTTTCATTTGCTTTTTGATTTCTGAGAACTGAATGTAATCATTTGTGAATTGTGAGCAACATGATTTGGTAACTCAGTTTTAGAGAGTAACATGAATTGTTTAGCACCATATTAAAATCATTGTTTATTTATGTTGGAGTACATTGTCAAAAGAAGCTTTTGCAAAAATACAGTTTGTTGATGGAACGTTCGTGTGTAATCATGTTCATGTAAGTAAAGCAGATCCGGAGTTGATTTGAGGATAAAACTTCTTCCTGTCCTAGGGTTTTTCATTGGTTTTCTGGTGGTCGGTCTGAAGTTTGCTTATTTTTGACAGATCGGCAAACGAGACATTCGCCGAACCCCTTTTTGCTGGTTTTGCCTGTAAATTCATCACAAGATGGCCAAGTCAGAATCTCACTATAATTCCACTTTCGGAGGAATGCGATTGGCTGTGGTTTGTTCCATGCTGATTGATGGAACGTTCGTGTGTAATCATGTTCATGTAAGTAAAGCAGATCCGGAGTTGATTTGAGGATAAAACTTCTTCCTGTCCTAGGGTTTTTCATTGGTTTTCTGGTGGTCGGTCTGAAGTTTGCTTATTTTTGACAGATCGGCAAACGAGACATTCGCCGAACCCCTTTTTGCTGGTTTTGCCTGTAAATTCATCACAAGATGGCCAAGTCAGAATCTCACTACAATTCCACTTTCGGAGGAATGCGATTGGCTGTGGTTTGTTCCATGCTGACCAATGAAAATGCAACAGACCTGAGACTCATGAGGCTTCCAGCCAATCATGTAGAGGATCTGAAATGTAGCTGGAACTGAACCATCTTCATTGCCATACATCTCTAGAAGAAATCAAATTAAGAGAATAACACAATTTCTAGGATCGTCAGGTAAACAAAACACATTTTAGTGTCTCTACATCAGTGTTTTTTTGACAATGTTTTTTTATTTTTATTATTTTTACTCCGAAATAGACGTTTCTATGCAATAATATGTTTTAGAGATTGACAAAATTATATAAATATACATATATACATTATATTCATAACATTTCTGTGACTTTTCCAGGTCTAGAAATCACACTCATCAATCAATATCTCATACTGTATATCCAGGTTATGCAAGATCATGAAAACCCTGATTCTTGAATTAAAGGAACGAATTATGAAATACGATTTCATTTTACATCTTGATTTTTAATTGTTTTAGCTGATATCAAACCTTTTGTCTTCTTATAAATAATTTTAAGTCATCTTGCGGCCCTCTGGTTGAGAATCACTGTTCTACATAAAAGTATTCTTGTAGAAAAAAAAAATCAATACTACTGAAATTTACATGGTAATAACCTTAATTTTAAACAAACAAGTATTTAATTAAAATATAATATCAGAGGTCCTGGACTGCATTGAAGTACATGATTTAAATACATAAGTTAAATTTTAGCGTAACCACTGTTCCACATATAATTATTGTTGTCGAAAGTATAAATATGTAATAAAATAAATACAATGGAAATTTAAATTTCATTTAAAATGTTCAATCCTCCAAGCGTTCGATGCAGTTCCCAGTTTGCGGTCTCACCTTTATAAATGGCAGCTGCCGCCAGTATAGTGTCTCTGTGTAGGAGTGACTTCCTGTTCCACGCACAGTTGCTTTCACCCATACCTGAAGTACATGAATAAACTAAACACATTCTCCTTTTCATAACATAACAAGACACCAAATTTAAAGGGATACTCCACCCCAAAATGAAAATTTTGTCATTAATCACTTACCCCCATGTTGTTCCAATTCAACAATTTGTCTCCTCTGTGTCTCTCCGCATCACCGTAGCGCCATTTTGGAGAAAAAACACTAAACGCAAGCAGCGTACGCTCTTCTGTGTCAGCCGCGACACAAGGATACGTTTTCTACGTGTATTTACGCTTTGATTTGAACGAAAACACAGAAGAGCGTACGCTGCTTGCGTTTTGATTAATGACTAAATTTTCATTTTGGGGTGGAGTATCCCTTTAAAGAGTTTACCTTGTAAGTCACTCATGACCTCCAGCATACCAGGATAATGGACCTGAACTTCATCAATGTCCTGAATGACAACACAAAAACGCCCCAGTGTAGTCACACATAATTCAACTCAAAACAGATCTGCAGATTACGTAGTTGAATCAGCGTAATCAAACGTTGAAATATTCATACCACAGTGAGCATTTTGAAGCCGGCCTGTCCCAGCAGGTTGCCCAGGTCAGTGACGGCTGTGTAGGGTGAGATATGGGGCGCAAAGCCGCCCTCCCTCTCTAGCTCGGCTAACTGCAGAGAACATCGCAGCTCGTAGAGCGTCTCACTGCCGACCATTGCTCCAATGAACACGCAATCCGGCTTCAACACCTGGTGGATCTGAACCACAAAAACAGTTTTTTATATTATTTATAATGTGCAACAGGACTGCACACTTGGTTTGATCCTCATACCTGTCTCAAAGCTCCAGGAAGGTCGTTGATCCAGTGCAGACTGAGGAGACAAATACGGCTTTATAAATGACAGTTCATTCTTTAAATTTCCCATCATGCACTGGGGCAGTACTGTACCTCAGGCTGCTAAGCACTAGGTCAAACGTGTTTTCTTTAAATGGCAAAAACTCCTCATCTGCCAAAACACACTGAGTAGGCATCTCACATTTCTTCCTATTTCTCTAAAGAACAAGGACGAGAAATAAGTTTCAAAAAGTTTCACTAAGGCTGCATTTGTCTGATCAGAAATGCAGCAAAAAACATAATTCTGTGAACTTTTATTACAATTTAAAATAACTGTTTTCTATTTGCATATATTTTATGCAATTTATTCCTGTGCTGGTAAAAACTGAATTTTCACATGATCCTTCAGAAATCACTCTAATATGTTGTTTTGCTGCTCAAGAGATATTTCTTGTTCTTAGTAATGTAAAAAAAAAAAGATAATTTTATTGTTGTTTTATCGTTGTATCAATGTTGAAAACAGTTGTGCGGCTCAATATTTTTGTGGAGACCGTATTGCAAGTTCAAAAGAACAGCATTTATTTGAAATAGAAATCTTTTGTAACATTAGAAATGTCTTCAGTGCCACTTTTACTCAATTTAATGCATTCTTGGGCAAAAAAAGTATTCATTTCTTTTTAAAAAAAAAGTCTTACTGACCCCAAAGGTTTGAATGGGCAAATCTATAGCCCTTTATAAAATGTAAGGTTTATGTTGCAGCTGTGCATTAGTAAAATAAAGACATGCTTAGTCTCTTACCAGGGAAGAGTCTGAAATGTCTGTTAAAAAGAGACGTTCAACAATGTCCTGAGAAGAGAGAGAATTAGTGTAAATTTAAAGGAATAATTTACTTTCTTAAAACTGAAAAATATAGAAAACAAAGAGCTTGACAGCCTTAGTCTCCTTTCACTTAATGTGAACATTCATCAAAAAATACCTCGTTATGTATCACAACATCATGAATGTAAGTACCTAAAGGCAGATTTTCTTTTAAGGGTGCTATTCACAGGAATGTTACGAACGGTTCTACCTTACTCAAATGCTCCGCGATGTGACTCTTCCCACATCCTACATCCAGAGCCAGAGGGAAAGTCCTGCAATGACATTCAGGGATCAAAAATTAAAATGTTGTTATTATTTACTCACCCTCATGTTACTCAAAACCCACATGACTGTATTTATTCTTGTGAAAACAAACAGGATATATTATTCAGGATGCCAAAGTTGCTGTTACATTGAAAGCGGATGGGGACTGGAGTTGTTGAGCTCTCAAAACTCTAGCACTCTCTATTCTAATTCTATTCTTTAAAAAAAACGTGCCCCTTTTAGACTTGCACTCTATTCATTTTTCTAACTGCTTGTTTTCTTTTTTAAAAAAAACTAACACTAGCTTCTCTATTCTTTTTGTATTCTATCTGTTTGTTTTCTTTTTATTTATTATACAATTAACAAAAAGCAAAAAAAAAGCCCTATAACACTAGCTTGCTCTATTCTTTTTCTATCGGTTTTCTTTTTATTTATTATATAATAAAAAAAAAAACTTGCTACGTGTACTGCGTTAGGCTAACTGAGACTTGTTATAGCACTTGCATATCACTGCTCTTTTGTTGGTTTTAATTGCTTCCATTATCCTTATTTGTCGCTTTGGATAACAGCGTCTGTTAAATGACCAAATGTAAATGTAAAATGCAAAAAAATACTTACATTTGTCTGTTCATTACCCATATCTATCAAAGGACTTCAGAAGACTTGAAATATAGCACACAAGTAGTATGGACTACTTTCATGATGCTCTTTCGGAGCTCAACAGCCCCAGTCCCCATTCACTTCTATTGTATGGTAAACAGTAGTGCTGTCAAAATCCAAAATAAGTTTTTGTTTACATAATATATGTATGTGTACTGTGTATATGTATTATGTATATATAAATACACACACATGCATGTATATATTTTGAAAATATTTACATATATATACATTTATATTATATATATATTTAATATATAACAACATTTTTCTTAAATATATACATGCATGTGTTTGCATTTATATATACATAATAAATAGACACAGTACACACACATATTATGCAAACAAAAACATTTATTTTGGATGCGATTAATCGCGATTAATCGTTTGACAGCACTAGTAAACAGCAGACTGGACATTCTGCTTGATATCTGCTTTTCTGCTCCACAAAACAAAATAAAGTCATACAGGGTTGAAGCGACAAGCCAGTGAGTAAAATGATATTTTTGTCTGAACTATTTCTTTAAGAACTAATGTCAGGATGTTTAAAAGGTATTTTAATAAGCGGGCAGTGACCTTGAGACATCATAAACTCTGTCTGCTAATCTGCTCCCCACCTGCAAACACAACGAAAGCAGAAGTTCATTCACACAGCTTCAGTTCTCCGAGAAACAGACGGGCCCATCAGACGGTAAGAAACCACCTCACCTCGTCTCGGATGTAATCGTATTTGTCGCTGTCTAGTAAAGATGAAGCCCATTGCTTCTGCCTACGCTTCATGCTCCTGTCAAACACGTTCATAGCGCCTCCCTGAGAGGAGAGACACCTCCATCCCCTCCACAGACATCGCAGAGCCCGGAGGCTTTTCACAGTGAGACTCATGCTTCCGTGCTAATTCTCGTTTTCTCTGGCTGACAACTCTTTCAAAGACAGTCCTCTGCGTGCCTCTAAACGGAGGGGAGCTCAGCTCTGCGTCACACAACAGAGACTGTGTCTGAGGTAAAACCTGGACTGGATCAGTCCCGGACACTGGAACATGGGCTGGAGTCAGTTTGAAGTTCAGCCAAACTTTCAAACCAGGGCCGTCGCCGGAAAATTCTCAATGGGGGGCATTTTGTTTTCATAAGGGGGCACACTTTTTTATGATCTCAGAAACAGACATTCACCAAAACAATAACGACCTGTATTATAACTTAAATTGATCAAGTTCTATATTAAAACAGATTAAAAAAGATAGTTCAACCAACAACAATTCATAAGAAAAAATCATCATACTTACGTTTCAGGTTGCTACAGCGTGTTTTTGCAGCGTTTAGCAATGTAGCCAATCATCTGTCGACTTTTGTGTTAGATGTTATATTATGACTTTTATGTATTTATGTTAGAATCCAGTCACCGCTCAAATCGCCGGAGTTTTGTTCTGCACGCTCGCGAATCCTTTCTTTGAGTGTAGAAACTTTTTTCTATTCTATTCTATTCTATTCTATTCTATTCTATTCTGCAAAACAACATTCATTGAGTCGGAAAGGGGGGGGGAGTTGAAATAAATACAGAACAATTGACAGATACAACATATAAAGTGTGGCTTTAGTTTGAATTTCATTTTTCTTTGTTAAAGGTAAGTAATAGTAAAAACAATAATAAATGAAATAATAAATTATAAGCAGTAAAATTGCTAGTAAATTAGTGATTATTAAAACAGGAGTCGCAGTCACATTTTGTGATATAAAACTGATGAATAATGAAACTAAAGCATTTCTTATCTGTAAGTTTATATTATATTATATTATATTATATTAGCCTATATTATATTACTGTAAGTCTATTTATATTTCCAGCAACAAACTCACAATAGCCTCAGATTAGTGTTTGGTATCAATTATAGTTTTATTCATATTTTGAATTGATTTTTATTTTTATTATTTTACTTTGAATAATTTGAATTGTTTTGAAAAGTTTTAGTAATTTTGTTGTTTTGTCATTTTTATAACTTGAAATAATAAATTATAAGCAGTAAAATTGCTAGTAAATTAGTGATTATTAAAACAGGAGTCGCAGTCACATTTTGTGATATAAAACTGATGAATAATGAAACTAAAGCATTTCTTATCTGTAAGTTTATATTATATTATATTATATTATATTAGCCTATATTATATTACTGTAAGTCTATTTATATTTCCAGCAACAAACTCACAATAGCCTCAGATTAGTGTTTGGTATCAATTATAGTTTTATTCATATTTTGAATTGCTTTTTATTTTTATATTTACTTTGAATAATTTGAATTGTTTTGAAAAGTTTTAGTAATTTTGTTGTTTTGTCATTTTTATAACTTTTTTAATGTCTATATTCTAATGTCTAATTAGTTTTTTGTTTTAGTTTTAGCTGTTCTAATACACCAATTTAAACATAATGAGAAATGTTGACTGAGATCAAATAAAAATGATTTTTATTAAAAACTAAAAATTCTATAGAATATTTATATTCTTTGCTCTTCTGTGTCTATATATTATGTATATATCGTCTTTAGTTTTACGAATCTACACGGAATGTCAAAGTGAAAGGAAACACTCGTCTGGTGTGTTTTGAGCCCTTCGTCTCGCCGTATGCAAAAAAGGGCGTGGCTTCTCAAATGTAACGGAAGTAGTAAAGCATCACGGGAAAACACGTGTGGAGCTGTGCCGTAAACTCGCACGAAAACCCAGTCGGTCAGTATTGGCCTTTATATATGTTTTTATTTACTGCGCAGTCAGTTTTGTCCTGAATTCTTGGGGTTTTCATAAATTGCAATGATGTTTTGTCAGTTAACGACTTGCACAGTGTTTTAGTTATTTGTCATTACAGTCTGTAGAATGTGTGCTGTGCGAATTACAGACAGACACTAAACAAATAAATACAGAATATCACAACATTTGCATACAGCCAAATGACAAGTAAACATTATAAACTGTAATTTGACAACATGCCTCCGTTTTTGAATGAAGTTAAATCGTGGTAATACTGAAATATAAAGTTTGATAACAAGCACCACTCTACCTTTTTCATAATTTATCAGTGTCTTTGTGTGACTTAAGAGCGCTTGTTGAAATCTGATTGAATGAAATGAAAACCGATTTAGTTGGACTTGAGTGTTTTCTATACAGATGGAAACATGAACCACATTATTTTGGGTTATCTGTGTAAGAAATGTTTCACGACATTTCTTTTAATGAATATACACTTGGTTTCACATGTACTTGAAATGCACCTCTTCTGTGTTTTTCACAGGTTGATGCTTTCATCAGGCTCTTCCAAATAATCACCATGGCCTCCAAAAACACTGTAAGCGGTGACGACCGCTTCTCGAAGGTCCAGAAGGACCCTCGCTTCTGGGAGATGCCCAGCAGAGAGCGCAAAGTCAAAATCGACAAGCGTTTCAAGTCCATGTTCCACGACGAACGCTTTAAACTGAAGTATACAGTCGATAAACGCGGCCGACCCGTCAACCAGACGTCCACCGAGGACCTCAAGCGCTTCTACAAGCTCTCTGACTCCGAGCAGTCAGACGAAGAAGAGGAGAACGAGCAGACGGAAAAGCCCAAGAAGGAACAGAAAGTGAAAAAGGCTGATGAGGAACCTCAGGTTGAGGATGAAGAAGAGAGCGATGAATCTGAAGAGGAGGCAGACACCGAGAAGATCCCGAAGACAAAAGAAGCTAAGAAAACGAAAGAGCCGCTGGTAAAGGGAGTGAGAGTGTTTGAAGAAGGTACTGCATTAACTTTATTTTATATATGTGACCCTGGAGCACAAAACCAGTCTTAAGTAGCACAAGTATATTTGTAGCAATAGCCAACAATACATTGCATGGGTCAAAATTATCGATTTTTCTTTTATGCCAAAAATCATTAGGATATTAAGTAAAGAACATGTTCCATGAAGATATTTTGTAAATTTCCTACTGTTAATATATCAAAACATAATTTTTGATTAGTATTATGCATTGCTATGGACGTCATTTGGACAACTTCAAAGGTGATTTTCTCAATATTTAGATTTTTTATTTTCACCCTCAGATTTTCAAATAGTTGCATCTCGGCCAAATATTGTCCTATCCTAACAAACCCATACATCAATGGAAAGCTTATATATTCAGCTTTCAGATGATGTATAAATCTCAATTTCCAAAAATGGACCCTTATGACTGGTTTTGTGGTCCAGGGTCACATATTCATTATTAATCTGAGTAATGTATCTGATTGTTTTGTTTTAAAATGGATCTTCTGAAGACAGTACGAGTGGTGTTCATTTATGTTATTTATGGCTTGATGCCGTTTGTATTGTTTTTAACAGATGAGGACGAGGAATCTGGTGTTGAAGAGGAGGAGGAGGCTGATGAAGATGACGAGAGTGAGTCAGGTGATGACAGCGACAATGGACCCGATCTGGCTCGAGGGAAGGGTAACATTGAGACCAGCTCTGATGAAGATGATGATGATGATGAGCTGGAGGAATGTCTGCGCCATGAGGAAGAGGAGATTGAGCATGACTGGGGAGAGATGTGGAAAGATGCTCCACGCAGTGACAACGTGAGATTCATCCCAATGCTTTATTAATCATAAACTGCTGTTCAGAAGTTAAATGTTTGAAAGAAGACTCTTACGCTCACCAAAGCTGCATTTCTTTGATCAAAAACACAGTAAAACTGTAATATTGTGAAATAATAATTGTTTTGTATTTGAATATATTTTAAAATGTAATTTATTCCTGTGATGCAAATCTGAATTTTCAGCAGCAATTACGCCAAAATATATATATATTTAAATTATTTTCAGTGTTGAAAAGTTTTTGCTGTTTAATATTTTTGGTGGAAACCTCCAAAAACCTATTTTTCAGAATTCTTTGAGTATAAATTTCATAATACCAGCATTTATTTGAAATAGAAATATTTGGTAACATTATACATTTCTTCATTGTCACTTTTGTTCAATTAAATGCATCCTTGCTGAAAAAAAAAGTATTAATCTCTTTCTAACAAAAAATTAACTGACCCCAAACCTTTAAACAGTAGTATATTTATTAAATAAAAATATGATTTAATATTATTTGTGTTATATAAAATATATTTAATAAAGTAATTTCTATTATATTACAATTGTATCAAGAAAAACAGCCATTACGATTTTTTTCAATGTGATATTATTTTAACTACATCTAAACACATTTTCTTAACCAAATTTATTTTTGTAGCATGATGCAGGTAAAATAGTTATTATAAAACGGATAGTTCCAGTCCTTGATTCTGATTGGCTGAGCCACGTTCGAAGCTGTTGTAAATTACACTACAAACATACACCTTTTTTTACGTTTGTCTGTTGCTTGGCAACAGACGGGGGTTTTAGCGCATAACAATGCCCCTTAGCTGTTATAAATTCACTGTAAACCACGGCTTCTTGGGGCTTATTGCTTTACTACACAAAATGTATTTTAAAAAAGTATTCATATATGATTCTAGTGTTTGTTGGGTCAAACTTTATTTTAAGGTCCAATTCTCGCTATTAACAAACCATTAACTATGACTTCTGCCTCAATAAACTGCTGTTTATTAATAGTTAGTATGGTAGTTCTTAAGTTTAAGTATTGAGTAGGATTAAGGATGTAGAATACGGTCATGCAGAATATGTGCTTTATAAGTACTAATAAACAGCCAATATGTTAAAAATAGGCATGCTAATATAAGCAACTAGTTAATAGTGAGAATTGGTCCTCGTACTGAAGTGTTACTGTTTGTTGCTGGTGTGTTATTTCCTATGTTTGTGTGTTTAGACTTCCCGACGCTTGGCGGTTTGTAACATGAACTGGGACAGACTGAAAGCTAAAGATCTTCTGGCTCTCTTCAGTTCGTTTAAGCCCAAAGGAGGCGTGGTGCTGTCTGTGACGGTAACTATCACATCAGTTTCCTGCACAATCTCATAATCTCATGTCAGTCTGATTGGTGACGTGTGTGTGTCAGATCTATCCGTCTGAGTTGGGGAAGGAGAGGATGAGTGCAGAACAGACTCAGGGTCCGCTGGAGCTCACCGGCCTCCCGGAGGACCCTGATGCCGACACAGACGAGCAAAGGTACCAGCCACAGTCATTGTCTGGAGCTGGTCAGATTCTTATTGGGGTTTGGTCGACCAAGATTTGCAGTGAGGGGAATCCCAGAATGCATTGCAAACAAGCTTAGTGAAGAAAATCTGTTCTAGATGGCCAATATTTATTTAACACATTCTTATTAGGCATGGGCGATAAAACGGTATCGATATTTATTGACGGTACACCTTCTTCGATAACGATATAAAAAATGTTCGATATAGTGCACGATATAGGCACGTGCTGTGAGTGACGCAGACAACAAACACGAACATGAGTGCTGTGCCTGCCTGTGATGAGGAGATTGTGAATAAAAAATTAATATTAGTCGAATTTAAAATAAACATTTGCATTTGAATGCAAAAATAGTACAATC